GCAGCCCGCCTGCCGCAGCAGTAGCACCAGCAGTGCAACCTCCAGGCTGCAAACCCCTTTCCCTCGCCCTGTTGTTGCTGTAGTTTCTTGAGGGATCCCAGCTCATGCTGCCTGTTGCAGCAAGTGCAGAGTCAAGAGTCCTTGTTTCTGTTCGTGTGAAGAGACTTAAATGTTTTGGTGAGGGAACTCTGCTGAGTGAATGTGGCATCTTGAAGGAAAATGAGAAATGCAAAAAGGGAGCCTTTAAGTTAAGCTAAGAGCAAGAGACTGTAGACCTGTGCTAACTAAAGGCAATACAGCTCAGGGAAATACATTAAAATGGTGCTTGTTTTTCTGAACAGGCTTGTAGAATAACTGGAAGTATCTTCAAATTGTAGAAAATACCCTTCAACAGAAGGGTTTTTTTAATTAGGCAGGTTAGATTTAGTAAGCAGGTATCCAGATTGTGGACTGTCACAGACGAGCAGGGAGCTACCGCATAATTTTTCAAGCATTAGCAGTGGAGGAATATGCTTTTTCTGAATCCCATGAGTTTGTCAAAACCAATTTCCTGTGTTGATGTTGGGGTAAGGCATACAAAATAGCCAGCCTGGCAGCTACAGAAAAATGAGGATATTTGAAAAAGGATAGGCTTTTTATTTACCCCAAGTGATGGATATTGGCTGAAATGTGACAAGAAATATGAAAAAAAAACAAAAAAACCTTCTTCGCTATATTTTTTTTATGTTCTATGTATTTTCTCCCTGCCTATTTGTTTATTCTGAACAAAGCATGTCCAGTAATTCTCATTTTTTCAAAGATTTTTCTGTTGTCACTGCTCTTCTTGCAGCCCCAGTGTTTAGACTATGTTGTTTGTGTGCCAGGTTATGTGTAGGAGTCACTGTACTGGTTCAGATCAAGGATGCATCCAGACGAGTATCTGATTCCCTAGATTCATCACACGCAGCTTCAGAAACTCGGGTTTTTTGTCTAGATTCAGCTCGAGTCAATAGGAAGGAGTTTGGTAACACCAGCACATGGGTTATAAGATGTTAGAGCTGACAGATGAAAAGCAATACCGGGTAACAGAACTAACCCTGGAGGGCTGCTTCTAAGATGTGGCCAATCACCCTCTGTCTCCCTCCACCTAGAGATAGGCAGGTACCTAAAATTAAGAGAGATTAACCCAGGCCCTGGTAGTGCCCCATGAGGGTGCTAAAGAAGAGGTCACAAGAATTAAAAACTTAGCACAACCTTTTCCAAGCCATACCCTCTTGATTTCCTCCTGTCCGGGATCCGGACTTGGAGACGCTCTGCATTTGACGTGTTAATTCCTCCGTGACTTTCTCCCTCCTACTTTCCTGTGCTAACTATCAGCGCATTGAGTCTGCTTTTCTGCTTGTCACGCAGAGCTCCAGCAATGGAAAAAGGTCGTATTGCCTTTAGGTGAAGTCAGCTCTTATGTAGTTGGCAAGGTCAAACATGAACCATGAGCTGAGTGCCTTGCTCTGTGTTTCGGGGGCAGACTTGAACACCTCCAGCTGCACTTTTTGGCTGAGTCCTTTGCCTGCCAGTCGTGCTCTCCTGGCGAAGGGTGAGCGAGAGGGGTTTCATCCTCTTGCTACCTCTGTGCAAGCCATTGCCTGGCAGGGCTGGGCAGAGAGCTGCCACTGCCCTAAGAGCAGGCACATCTCCTTCCCCAGGCCTTGATGGGAAACGACTGCGAGGAAGACCTCTTATGAGCTTTTCCCAACGTGTTGCTGTTTATATTCGTATCACTGTGGGTTTTTTTCAAAGTACTTAACTTCTGAGGGGTGAACTTAATTTGATCCTCATCATATCTAGGTTTAGGGGAGATCTGGTGAGCATCAACATACAAACACCTGTCCTTGCCTTCCTCTCCTAGGATTTTAGATAATGGGCTGTGTGCAATGTAAGGATAAAGAAGCAACAAAACTGACTGACGAGAGGGATGGCAGTTTAACTCAAAGCTCAGGCTACCGCTATGGGACAGATCCCACTCCGCAGCACTATCCTAGCTTTGGTGTGACTTCAATCCCAAACTACAACAACTTCCATGCCACAGGAGGCCAAGGACTGACTGTGTTTGGTGGAGTCAATTCCTCCTCTCATACAGGGACGCTGCGTACAAGAGGAGGAACAGGTGAGTTTCTTCTTTTGATGCCCTTAGTGAGTATCAATCACATAATTACAGCAGAGGCACAACTGTCTCAGCATGCTGCTTTTGGGAAGAGTTATTTCATGAAATAGTGCAAAGAATTGAAGTAGGGGCGGAGCGGGGTCTTCAGCCCTACCTTTGCTAACTTGCAGGTGCTTGTTCACTTGGGGGGTGAGAAATTATGTATACACACACAATTTGGCTGACTGACTGCTTCATCCCTCTACCAGGGATCGGAAAGTGTGGTCTGAGCCACCTCAAGTAGTTAACAGGAAATACTTGGCATGGCTATGGCTAAACTCTCTCTTCAAACCCCCTTTGCCCGCTTGGGATCCTACACTGTTTGTGGGTATCAAACCAAGAGTACTGATGACTGTACAGAGTGAAGGAGGTGACGTGCCCGCTGGCTGCATAAAAGCAAAGGGATTGGAAGGGTTGTCCAAAAAGTAGGAGGCTTCAGTGTATTTTGCTGCTCAGCAAGCGGGACTAGCTTACATTTGGCTTAGCCACCTCATCTCTTGAGGCTCCTTTCCTTCCTGTTTTTTGTGATGGAGTGTAACTCACCTATCTTCTTCTTTAGGTGTAACTCTTTTTGTGGCGCTTTATGACTATGAAGCAAGAACAGAAGATGACTTGAGTTTTCACAAAGGAGAAAAATTTCAAATACTTAACAGCTCGTAAGTTTTAGGCTTGGGAATACGCTTTTTAATATTTTTAAACTTACAATGTTGAAAATTATATTTGTCTGCTTATATTATTAGTAAAATCTAATGTCGGGTATTCAAGATATGTAGGGTTTTTACTCTATGCTTACTTGTCTTTGCATTTAGTGCACTTCTGCAAAGTGCTTTATTATTGAAAAGAAAAACTTCAACCACATGCAGCTTTACTTCAAAAATCAGCATTAGATTGTGTGATTCACTGCTTACATTTCACAGTAAACTCACATTCAGAACTGAGAGTACCAGCTCTGTACTTTACCAGTAGTCACAGAAGTTCTGCAAAGCACGTACTAACACTCTTTGCAATCTGCTGCAAGTATCTCTATACAGAAACAAGCTAAAAACTGATTCACAAAAGAGATGTTACCCAGACTTGCGTACCACGTTTAAAAGCATTGTTTTTTCCTTTTAAAGGTAGGTGATACAGTCAGAACATGCTAGGAAGTTGTGTTAAGTGAGAATGCACCATTATACAGTTGCATTTGGCTTGAAAACCACACTTTCATCCTGGAAATCATCAGCTTAAAATTAATCTTATTAACTGCCCATAGAAAAAAATCCCTTAGCAATTTAAAAAATAACATCTAAAACTTACTGTGCTACTGACCTATATCTGAACATGTTGTAATTCTTGGCTAAGAATACAAAGTTGAAGGCTCTGTGTTATGTTCAGTATTGCTATCATGTGGAGGTAAAAATGGGTTAACAACCAAGTATGTCACTTTCTAGAGGCTTTGTGATATTGCTCGCATCTTTTTTTCTTACACTATGTGACAGTGAGGCAAATTCATCCCTGGTGCAACTCGTTAATTTTAATAGAACAACTCCAGGGTTGGAGTTGGCTCAATGTGCATTAAAGTTTAAAAAAAAAAAATCAGGTAATTCTGTGGAATATTTCATGAAGCTATGAAGCTGAAGAGCTTTGATGTAGATGAAAGCACAGAAACTTCAGTTACGACTTGTAGAGGGAGCAGCAGTTTAAAAACCTCTCTACTTCTAAATTAGCACTTGGGAAAAAAACCTTTTTTAACCTATCATCCATTTTTGTTCACATTGCCTGCTGCTTTCCTAACCTTGCACAAACTATGCCGTAACTTGAAACAAGAAGAAATTTTATGCATTATAAATTCCTTACACATGCCAGTTGATGAAATCAGGGGCTGCTCACCAGGACTTGCAGAGCAATCATACTTGGAGTTGGTGGGACAGAGAGGTTCCCCCACGTGTGGGTGGTTGCAGTGAATGCATTTTGATGCAGGTAACTACTGCCTGGAGGGAGGTTTTCTAAGAGAAAAAAACCCAAGCATCGACTGATTTTCTTGTAGGATTATAGAAGCTCAGTTCCCATCGTAGTCACCTCTGTCTGCTTATAAACAGGGACCTAACCACACTCCTGGAGTACTGACAGCCAGGCTGGGAACCTCCAGAAAGCAGCTTTTCCGTGAGAATGCTTCCTCTCTTCACTTATATCAGAAATGATATGAAAGAAGCCCATTTTTTTAAGAGTCTGCCAATGCTGCTTGCAACCAGAAAGCATATATGTGCACAAAGCTAGTTTGTCCGGAATTTTTGGAGGGGTCTGGATTTTTTTTTTTTTTAGCTCTCAACAAATGAAATTTGATTTGTGCTTTGGATTAAAAGTTCAGGACAGCAATACCTGAAACGGCATACAGAGGGTATCCCTGTGATTTGAAATCAGAAATGATACTACGGGCAGTCTGGGGGAAAGAGGTACCTGCAGGGGTGGTTCAGAGCAGAGCCTGACTTCGGGGCTCAGAAACACTCGGCCATCCCCTGCATCCCTACTGCCACTGCCGCACGCCCTGGCTAGCCCCATTGACTAGCCGCCTCCTACCTCAGTTGGGTGTCTAAAATTAAGAGCTGTGAAAAAGGTCTGCATTCCTCCTGCTTTCTGGCAGTGCTTTCAGAGATTTAAGCTTCTCTGTCAAAGCAGAGAGGGTTGTTCCTGATGTTGGTATCATCCATGGGACTGCTTTTTTCCTCCTTAGATATGATAAAATACCTCCATCTAGTGGACTCTCTGTACAGTAAGGAGAAGAAATGTAATAGTACAATTTATCAACCACAGTATGGCATAATCTCTCAGAAATATTCTACAGCAACATATGGGGGAAGGGTTAGCACTTCAGCTGATAAAATTAGGGATGTAAACAGATAGGGCCATTTGCCTGACATACTAATGCACACAAGGTGTGTTAAAATAGTGTCAGCTGCCAGCCTCTAGAAAAGATACTTGTTCTTCACTGTTTTGAACTGTAGAATTGGAAACGTCTCCTTTTTGACTAATCACAGCTGTTTTCTAGTTGTTTTCCGTAGAGTTCATACTCCTTCAAACTCTTAAAGAAAGTGGAGTTGAAAATTTAAAGTAAGAGCTCACCTTGACACAACCTTTCCTGCCAGTAATAGCTTAGACAACGTGTTTTCTGTAACTGCTTGCTACAGAAGAGGCTGAATTCTCTGGCCACGTTTGATAACAGTGTTTTATTTAGTGAACAAGTCTCTGTTTTACAGAGAGGGGAACTGAGAAAGAGTTTTTAAGCAGTCCAGAAATAGAAAAGAGAATGCTTATTAGTAGTGGTAGGAGTTAAACATCGGTGAATCTGGTGCTGAGTGTGAAATACAAATTGCTAAATCCCAAATCATTGCATCCTATAAAAAGCTGAGAAATAAACTTCTCTTAAAGCTGGACATTCTACAGCAACGCGCGTTGTCTGAAGAGCAGTACCATGTACACATGCATGTACGACAAAAATTGATGCTAAGCTTGTGGAACGCTGCCATAAGATGGTCCTGCATGGACCTCTTCATATTTAAATGTTGTAGAAGAATGGGATTTTGTAAGTATTTGAAAATGCAGCTAAAAGTCCTTTGCTACTTCAGATACCTTCTCTAGATGACCAAGAGAGGGAATCTAAACAATGAAGCGTGATCCTTAAGGGCTATCTAAAACTCCATGTTGATAGATGGCTTTTTGATGCCTTTGGGTTTCAGATTAATTATCCCCATAGAAGTTTAAAATTAGCAGTGGATGTGAGTGTTCAGTTTGGCAGTTTTTCTATGAGGTCTCTCAAGGGTCTGTATTAGAATAATTGCTATGGAGACAGTTTTCAATATTCTCGTCCAAATCCAGCCCTCACCAAACCTGATTTCACTGGGTTGTTATGCCTGTTTATGCCATTATGCTACGTTTGGAAGGCTACATTACTAATCACCACTGAAATAATAATGGGTGTAAAGAAATACATATATTATTTGGGTTTAGATGCAAACAGCGCTCTCAGAAGCACACCAGTGATCAAGAGATGAGTTGCTGTGGATTCTTACACCGTGCAGCTGCGGGTGCTGTTAGCAAAGTCAGATCATTGTCTTTACAGCTGTGTCTCGCTCTCACTTCTCCTCCTCATCTCTGTTTCTGCAGGGAAGGAGACTGGTGGGAGGCCCGGTCCTTGACTACAGGCGAAACTGGTTACATTCCCAGTAATTATGTGGCTCCAGTCGATTCCATCCAAGCAGAGGAGTATGTTTTCTTTTCATTGTAAAGACCCATTAGTGCTGTATTTGAAGGAGGTTCAAGGAGTTGGTTTTGATTGATTGCAGCGATTTTTCAAATGACTTCTTACATTATTTTTATTTCAGTTCTTAACTGCACTGATAAATAATTAGGTTATTAGTAACAAAAGAAGCACAAGCTCAGTGCTTTTTCAATGTCAAAACAAAGGAAGAAAACCTAAAGGAACATAGGTCTGCTTCCTTTATTCAAGTGTCAACTAATTTCAAGCTTTAAGCGAAAAGTGCCCTTGCTTTTCCTGAACCAACTTGTAAAAAATACTTTGAGTCAATTAGTGTGCAAACTGTCTATTAAAGAGGGCACATTGTATCAACAAATACCTACCAATAGGTAGGATGCCTACAACACATACAGCAGGCGGCATAATGAGGACATATCTATGCAGAAAATGGAGTGCTGTGTGTATCCATATTATTTCCAGTATAAAAGATATACTGGAGAGGCTTATAGAGCTAAGCAGGTACTATTGTAGTCTGTACTTCAGGTTGTACTTGGTTGATTGTGAAACCAAAAAAACAAAGAAAAAAAATTGCTGCAGGAAGGAAAAAGGTGCCAAAACGCTGAAAGCCTTATACAACCACAGTAAAGTGGTTGCATCTGGTCCTTCTACTGAGGTTTTATAGCTGTGCTGCAACAAAAATATTGAATACTACCACATCACTATGTAAGTCAAATATGTAGTTTATAGCAACACCTATAAAAATACTGCTCTTTGGCAGCAACACATTTTTCTGCCCTTTTCCTTGTCTATTCCTTCCTCCCACCAAGTCCTGCTCTGTTTGTCAAAGTCTGGCCTTTGTCATAAGACACCGAACAAGCATTCTCAGCATCTACTGATTATAGGCTTAATGCAAAGTGCTACTGCACAGCATATACAACATCTACTACACAGTTTGCCACATTAGCTTCCCACCACAGTAAAAGAGACACAGTGTGACAAAAATGATTGAATATACTTAAGTAACCATAGTTTCCACAAATAATCCTCCATGTCTGAGCTCTGTGACACTACCTAGTAATCCTATGTAGCAACTGTCTTACTATTTCTGATGTTTCCCTAAGGTGGTACTTTGGCAAACTTGGCCGAAAAGATGCTGAGAGGCAGCTGTTGTCATTTGGAAACCCCAGAGGTACCTTCCTGATCCGGGAAAGCGAAACTACCAAAGGTAGGCTGGCCAAAGCTGTTCTGACTACAAATGAGAAGATGTATGAGAAAAATTGTGCTAAGTTTGTGAAATATTGTTTTCAGTGGTATGAAGGTAGAGATAAGTGTCATCTTGCATATATGTGTGCTAGGGAATTAGATGTCTGGACATCCCAGATCTTAGAGTGAGTGTTCAAAGCAGAGAACGGCCCGAGTGCAACCCATGCCATGCTCAACCCATGGTATCTGCAGTGCGAGTCATGCACAGGCAGTGTGCTCTGCTCTGCTGTGGCACTCTGAACATCACGCTGTCTCTCTCAACACGTGTGTTGAGGATACTACTATTGCAATGGAGTTGGGTGGAGAGTGGCCCCTCGGAACAGCAGCTATGGGGCTACGGGAGGCAGACCTCCTGGTGTCCATATTCAGGTCCAGGCACAGCTTACTGTGAACAGATGCTGGGAATCTCCAGTCTAGTTTGGTGAAAATTGCTGCTTGCTTCTGAACAAGCAGAATATTTGAACCTTCTTGCCTGGAAGAGGTAAGATAAGGTTTTGGGGGGGGAGGGAGGTACTGGTTATTTTGGGAAGATTAGGGGATTTTTTGGCCTTTCCCCTTTGAAATGCTGGATCCCGGGGTGGGGCGGGGGGAAGATACAGCAGTTTTGAATTCATAGATTAACAGTGAAAAGACTTGAAAAGATTTCTAATTAATATATTCATAAAGCATTCAACTCTCTCCATTCTGTTGAAGTCAAGTGGAAGGATGTATTCTCCTCCTTCCCTCTAAAAATATTGGATGAGTTCCAGTTTTCTTGGTGGGTGCCACCTTTGCTTTTACATTTTGTTCATGAGGCCTGTCAGCATCTTCTTCAAAGCTTCACATGTGTGAAAAGATCTCTGTAAGTCATACAACCATTGAGGAGAAAACCTGCAACTAAGTGAAAACAAACCTGGCCATTTCTCAATTAACCAGCAATCCAAAACAATAGCTGTGGGAAGCATAAGTCACTAGAATTAATTCCATGTAAGTTCTGAAGTCTAATGATGGTTCATGTAATTAAAGCACTGACTTGTCAGTGCTTTGATCAGAGCGCACGCTGTCAGCTAGAGTTAGCATGCAAAGTGGTTGGCGTCATGGCTGGTAAAGGGGCTTAAAGAAGAGAAGCACTACTTCCCACTCCTCTCTACCTGACCTATCTCCAGATACTGCATTCTGTCATCTAAAAGTGTAAGTTTTATATTTTTGACTCCTGCAGTCACTGGATTCTTCCTTCGCTGCCTGTAACTCTGAAGACTGTTTCTGATGCAAAATCTGAATAGATATGCTGTTGTTTCAGCCAGCTAATTTCCTATCTTGTCACCCCACAGCTCCACCATACCTTATGTAGCAGTGAGGCATTCTCACCAGGAGTAAGACAGGCTCTAACTTGCTCTTTTTCTGCAAATAGCCTCCACCTGTTCGTTTTCACCAACAGTTGTTGTGATGTGTGCGAGGAGCAGGACTTCATTCCACTCTGTGCAAAGTTTAAAACCACTCATATAGGCATTCATGGATCCTAAAAACAAACACAACACTGTTTCTCTAAACCACATTATCAGTTTAGTCTGTTTTGACCATTTTTTATACAGTGATAGGGGATATGTTTTGCAGGGCTGTTTACTTAGCTAAGTCAGGGCTTTTTTCTAGAGCTTCTTGTGAGACACAAAAGCATTTGGGAAACGGAGTAATCCGTCGTGGATGGACTTATAGCAGCAAGCTTAATTTCTCTGCATTTGAACTTAAGGCTTTCTACATCTTCAGGCTAAGTTTGCATCAAAGCCATTGGAAAAAAACAAACATGAATGGGTTTTGTCAAAAATGCCTGTTACCCTTCTCATCCTTGTGGTGTTTCAGTATGTTGTTAGAAGAAAACAGAGGGAACTTGTTGTTCATGAGAGAGAAAAAAGTCATCTGGGAGGGCTCGAATGGTGCATTCTCCCATAAGTCTTCTCAAAATGCCTTACTCCAGCTCATCATCTTGGGCTTGAGGCAGGAATTGTTTTGTGACCTAGAATTGTCCCTTCTGCTTTAAATAAGAACAATAATAAAATGGATCAGGATCATGTTAAAAGTATCATCATGGTTGACTTCAGCATGAATTTAACCTCCCTTGATCATGGTTGCCTTCTCTTCTTACTTCCAAAATAAATCATAGAGAGCTGGCTTTTCATTTTTTCAATGCCTGACTACCCAGGTACTACATCAGCTCTTGTCTGTATAATCCTTCACCTGGTTTCAATCTCCACCCTCCAAGGCTGTCTGGTTTTAGGTTTGTTTTTTTTTAAAAAAATTCATTAGTATGATATATTGTAATGTCGTATTTCTATCCAAATTTTTATTATGTATATCTCTTATATTTGAATTTATCATCAGATAATAGCGAATAGTATAAATAACCAACAGCCTAAATAAATGAATAATGAAATCCATCTTGGTTCTTGTTTTTGTCCAGATTTGAACTAAAGCTCCAGTCCTGCAACTTGATCTGAGGTCAGCGGGGGTCCACAGAGGGCCACCCACACAGCTCTGATTGCAGACCTGGAGCCACAGATTGTTTACATTTTCCTAAAGAATCTAAAATAGTGACCAGATAGGCAGGGAGCGTGACTAAAGAAAATACAGCTGCTGCCAGTGGATCAAAACTCACAAATGCGGAGGTGGAGAACACTGCCTAGAAAATTTTGAAAGCAGGCTGACAGTGCACAACCCAGAGCGGTGGTACAAAGCACGCACAAGATGTGCTTGCAAATCCCCAAAAAGCTTTGAACTCCTAGATGAGAGAGATGTACTTACTCAGTGGGAGAACCTCCTCAGAAAAATATCCTAAACAAACAGTATTTTTCTACACTTAGAAATAAAAACCCTGTCACTCCTCTCAGGGTGTCTCCCGTTCGCATGAACCAGAATCATCTGTGTAAGTGCTGTCTCTTTTCCTCCTATTTAGAGGGCAAACAACAGGGAATTTGAGAAGTCCTTGGAGTCAGGGTGGAGACGTTTTGTTCACTGCAGCTCCCTCGGTGGTGAGCCACCCGCCAGCGCAACCTCTTGCAGGTTAACGCGGTCAGGAAACTTCTTCCTGGGGAGACATCCAGGAAAGACATCTTACACCAGGAATCTCAACCACCTAACTGTGGGGGGGTTCTTTAAACCATTTCACTTAGCTGGAGGTGTTGTGGAGGGTGTGAACCTGCCAGGTGTGTTGAAAAGTACTCTGACTTGGTATAAGCAGCAGTCAGTGCTGTTTGCTATCAGACCTGTAGGAAATGATTCCACCTTTCACGTTGTCCAAAATTGCCTGCTGGTGGTTTTCCTTTCCTGCGCTTAGCTGGCATGGTTACCAGTGAAAGCAGCCCAGGCTCCAGAAGGAGGACCTTCCTGAGCAGCTGCCAGTTACCTCCAGTTTTTTTCCTTTAAATGTCTGAATTACCTTTGAGTAAACACAATGTTCATCTGAGCCGTGAGTGAAGACTTGTCGTCTCCACTGCCTCTGAAATGGACGTGCTTTTGCTCAGAAACTGCATTATGCTGTAAAATGTGGCTTTGCTTTTGACACTGTAGAGGACAAACATGTGGGTGTTACTGTATGTAGAATAGGACTGTGCTTCAAATTAAGACACCTGAATGTGCAAGTCCCCATATAGGTGGCCACACTCCCTTTACAGTCAGCGGGAAGCTGGGGTTCAGTTCAGCTGCCCAAGACCGCAGACACCTAGTGCTCAAACCTGTATTATGCCATTGATGTCTACAGTGCCATAACACTCATGGAAACTAGGCTGGGATTCAGCTGCCCTAGCTTATGTGTGGGCATCTAAATCAAGCCCATGGCCCACCTGCAGACAGCCACCACTACACCTAAAACTAAATCCAGCTCCTCAGCTGAGGTTCCTTTACCTGGCCATGAGCATCCAGAGCCATTTGAAATGCCTGCAGGGCATCCACAGGTCGGACAAATGTGACAGCCTGTGGGAAAACTGCCAAGCAGGATGTCCTGGGGCATCGCACATGGCACTTAACTCCTGTGTTTGGGCATCTGAATCCCACCAGTAAGCTCTAAAGCTCCAGCAGGGGTTTGGAAAGTGAAACATGCAGTTCTGGCAGATCTCCTGGTGCACAGTCTTGGTGTACTACCACCTTCCAAAGACTGTGACGTACAAAGTATGCTAATTTAGTTGTTCAATGTTTATACAGAAGTTTGGGATCCATCTGGGTAACAACACTACACATATATAAAGTCATTGTCTCCAGCGCTTCCTATGAAAATCTTGATATTTACTGTCCACTGGCATTTACCTAAAGTATAGTATTTGCAGTGTAACCTGACACTTAGAAAAGGAAAAGTCAATTTAGCAGCCTGAAGCAGTAAAAGTTAAAATGTGAGTTTTCATTTACACAGAAGTCCTGATTTCTTTCTAGAAAAGTGTGAAAGGGACATGGTGTGAACATTGTAAGATTTCTGTGATACTTCATTATGTTAGATTCACTTGCTCTTTTTCAAGGTACAGTAAGTATTTTTTGGAAGAAACTTCTCTTTCACTTTATAACAACTGACCAGCAAACCAAAATCTTTCTGTCTAAAAGCTACTCACAATTTTTTATTTCACCTTTGCTTGGAACAGGTGCCTATTCCCTGTCTATTCGAGACTGGGATGATATGAAAGGAGATCATGTCAAACATTATAAGATTCGTAAACTTGACAATGGTGGATATTATATCACAACTCGGGCACAATTTGAAACTCTTCAGCAGCTGGTTCAGCATTATTCAGGTAATTTTTCAGATAATACACGGCACTCTGAAGTATTTTAAAACAAAAGTGTTTGCTGCTGAGCTGATGTATGTGTAAGACGCCCTAAAGAGTCACTTGAGCTATGTCTCTTGCTTGTTGTAACGCATCTTCCATTATCCCTTTCCCATTACAGTTATAAATGGCTTTGAGTGCTGTTCACAGTGTACAGCGGCAGAGCTTTTAAAAGCTAGCACTCCACTGAGGTAAAGGTTTTGCCTGCTCTCCCTCTTCTAAGCAAACAGAATTACTGAATTTGACTTGCACATCTCAACGCATGAATTCCCTGTGCATAAGAGAGTGCAAATATGTACCATTTTGCAGCACACTATTGCTAATAAAGCAAATAGTGAACTGCATTGTGGAATTCAGTCGCCTAAAGCAATGACCAAAATGTTTGCATATATTACCTGACTCAAATTCTCCCACTGGATTTTTGTTCAATGTGCAAAGTATTAACATTTAAATTATAATCGGTCTAATAAATATAGCAAGGTGGGTGTTTCTTTGTTTCTTTATGCACACTATTTGTGTCCACCCACCAAGCTTTCCACCAAGCTTTTTTTTTCATCCTGTGATTAAAATGTGGCATGCACTATTCAACCCAAAAGTGCATCCTGCTGTCACTGGCTATTGGTGTACAACGGATAGAACTTTAAAGCCCCCCGAACCTCGGCATAGCACAACCAGTTCTTATGTAGAAGGCTGCCGTGCTTCTCAACTTCATCATTTTTTAAGCAGAAATTTCTATTTTAAATTATTTTGCTTTTTATTGTTTCCTTACTTTAGCTTTTCATAATATTAACAGATGACCCCAAATGCTCACTGCTCAAAAACTCTTCATAATTTTTACTTGGGAAATCAACTTCTCTGTGGGGTGTTTCTTCTGTATTCTTTGTATTCTGTCTGCTGTATTCTTATGCTATTCATACTAGACATCTGGCTGTCTTCTCCGCCCAATTTCTGATGGGTGTATGCTGCCTGGCAGAATTTCTAGTTGTTTCTGGTGACTCTACATTAAACTAAGCTAAATAATGTATAAAAACTCACATCTAAGGAAGATAATTTTCAACCCCACTATACCAGCCAGTATATGTCAACTTTTAGTTTTCTGTGGTCAAATTATTTGAGTAGTGTATTTTCCATGCACAGATGCAGAAACAAATAGATCTGGAAACAGCCATTTCTGTGCAACACAGAGGCAAAATCAGTAGGATCCAGGTAGGGTAGCTCAGGAGGGCATGGTACAGACCCACACTCCAGAGGCTTCACTTGCGGTCTCCCAGACCCAGGTGAACACAGGAGCCCTCATTCCATGCCAGCCCCAGCTGACTCAAAACTTAAAGGCTGCCTCTAACCGCCTGCTCTGCACTCTGGATTGTAGGAGGTCGATTAGCACAACACCTTGTGAGTGCCTAGATTTATTTCTAGGGAGAGTTCAAAGATGCCCAAATGGCTCTGTAAAGATCAGCATGGTTCCTAAAGAACCACTGCTGAGACCGTAGGTCAGTGCCTTCACAGCAGGACAGGTACGCTCTGCAGCCCCACCCTTCAGCCTTCATCCCATAGCTGTCCAGGCTGGAGGACCCCTCCTGCCCAGGCAGCTGGAAACCAGGCTACCCAGGCAGACAGTGTGCAGTTTGCTCTCATGTAAGCTGTCCTGGGTCAGGAGTTGGAAGTACAAAGTGTACCTCTGTGCAGACTTCGTACTTCCAACTCCTGACCCAGGACAGCTTACATGAGAAGGTAACACAGGTATCCCTGCACTGTGCTCCTATTGCACGGCCAAGTACCCTTATTACCCAGACTTCCCTCTTATCCCAGCCCCTTCTTACCTGGATAATAAAGTTAACTGCAGTGTCTGGACTTTCACAGATGGGATTTACAAATGAAAAATATTGAGATCCCCAGGGTGTCCTGACGTCAGACTAAAGTCCAGTAATGGCACATCTGAAGTTGAAGCACCATTCACTCAGTCCCTAACAGCTGGCCTGTCAAGCATAAGCTCTTGTGCGTGCAGGCTAGGCTTAACTGGAGCACCAGCATGCCAAGCTTTTTTTTTTTCAATTAAAGAAAACAAGGAGGTCTTAAAATCCTCCAGTTTCTTTCTGCAGCTGTCCAAACTCATAAGGAAGCTTTCCAGATACTATCCATATATTGAGTAGTCCCTATCCTAATGTTCCCATTGGAATTATCTTGGAATAAGACATGCCAGCTGGTCAGCTAATCTTCCCTGTTTTGAGGTCTTTGTTGTCTTGCTATAGGAGACACAACGAGGTCCATGTCAGGGTGTCTGTAGGGACTTCCCCACCATCCCACAACATTTGAGCTGAGGAGGTAGAGCTTGGTGTTGCAAGGAGCTTCAGTGCTTGCCCACCTCGTGATGCTGACACAAACCGTTCACCTGCCCAGAAAGAAATCTTGCACAGGAGAACAAAGATTATGTTTGAGTCTGAAATACAATTGCAGTTCCCCACCTTGTTCTGCTCTGCTGCACCTGTTTTAAGACACAAGTCGCTGTGCAAGCTTTATATTGTAGTCTGCTTTGTGCAGCATAGTATACTACACAACAATATGTGTGTTTGTATATTTAAATATATATCATTGTTTTTACTCTTGGTGAAATATCTTGTGACTTTTGTCACAGTTCAGTCTTCTGTGAAGCTTTGCAAGAGATAAGTATAATGAATCTGCCCCAAACGATGTAGGACTGGCTGCATACGCTACCAAAGGTTTGCTCTAGAAAGAATGGCAGAAAAAGTCTTTTAATGGACAGCTACAAAAACACCTTTTCACAGAGTAGAACATAGAAAATACCTTTTCCCAGGATACCTGGGGAAAAAATAGCAAAGTCTGCCAAATTTTCATTGCCGTGATTTTCAGAAAAAGTGAATCTTCTGTGTGTTTCTTTTACTCAGTACAGAAACAACCCAGTTTGCGACTTACAGATGATTTTTAAAAAGTTATACTGTACTATAATATACCAGTTACTCGTGAAGTTACCTTAATGTAGCACTGTGGGAGAAGGGAAATCCTGAGTCCACAAGAGAAACCACTGGCTGTCACCTTCCATTTCAGGCTGTGGAAGCAGAGACTAAAATATTTCCTGTTCTGTCTCAAATGAATATGTTTCAGTGTTCAGTTTCTAGTCTTCCAGGACGCTTTGTGGTATGCAACTAACAGCTGTTGTGAGTAGCATTGTTTTTATGCTTACTGTTTTTGTTTCATGTCACACTTTTTTTTCTTTCCTCTCCTTTGCTGTTGGCTTCACTTCTGGCTCCATCAGAGAGAGCTGCAGGTCTTTGCTGCCGCTTAGTAGTCCCCTGTCATAAAGGAATGCCAAGGCTTACTGATCTGTCTGTCAAAACCAAAGATGTCTGGGAAATTCCACGAGAATCCCTACAGTTGATCAAGAGACTGGGAAATGGGCAGTTTGGGGAAGTATGGATGGGTATGGAGCAAAATAATTATTCTAAAATAGCTCTCTGTGTGGGGATTACAAGATGGAAGGTGAAAATGGAAGGTGAAAAGTACAAGAAAAAAAAAGAGCAAAGCTCAGACTGTTAGGAAAAATGTCTTTGGAATCATGTCTGACTTTGAAACTCTTTCATCTTCAACTTTCAGTGTAATTGATGGCAAAAGAAAACTGAAATTCTGTGTTTCCTTGGAAGGTCTCAATTTTGACAAATTACCACTGTCTTAATAATAAATCAAGGCTCACATAGTAATCTATTAATTATACCAAGGAGCCTTTTTCTGCAAGCTAACAAGTGTTTGCAAATGAACTTTAATGCAGCACTGAAAGACAAGTCACCTTCCATCTTTCTCAGTGCATGCATAATTTTGGATTATAAGTGTGTTTTTTTTATTAATTTCCTCTCCTATAGAGAAAGCTGATGGTTTGTGTTTTAACTTAACTGTGATTGCTACGAATAATACCCCACAAACTGTTGGATTGGCTAAAGATGCATGGGAAGTTGCACGTGATTCATTATTTCTGGAACAGAAGCTTGGTCAGGGGTGTTTCGCTGAAGTGTGGCGTGGTAAGGCAGAGAATATATTTTGCTTTGGATGGATCTTTTAAGGCCCTCTTGGCAGAAATAAACATTTGAAGTAGAGATCTTAAAGCTAAAAGGTCAGAATAATATGAAATGCTAGTCTATATCGCCTAAAACATTCAGACGTAAATACAGTAATCCACGGTGAAAACTCCCTTTCACTTGCACACACTGGTATGAAAGGTGAGGGCACTAAACTTCGTTAATTGCATTGGGTTTATTTGGGTGACTACACAATTGCTAGGTATTAAAATAGGAATGATGCTAAACTTGTAAGGCAGAATGGCTAACCAGAAATTAATCTGGTAAGTAGACATTTTTCTTTCCTCGTGTGTTTTAGCACTGATGGGGTCAGACCCTGAAAAAGCTTCCATCCGCTCTCCCAGTTTAAAAATAATGGCAAGTATCAACAAGCTAATATTGTCAATATCTAGCTTTCCATGCACCCACTTCTTTGTCTGTTTTGAAATTTGTATCTGCAGCAGAACCCCGTAACTCAATATAGAGACCAGGGACAACAGAGGCAAGACTTACCCAGCCCAGCTGAACCCCCACATTGAAGTCCAGAAATATTGACCTTTTCCAAATCCGCTGACATATTGTTTTCTGCACACTTGCCAGCTTTACTTACTGCTTCCCTCTCTATGGGTCTCATTCTTTTAATGACTATGAAACAATAGCAATTTAAAATATACATAAATCTTAGTATGGCCATAGCATTGAAACAATATAGTGGCCGTTTAATGAGAGGTGGGCTCAATTTTTGCGCCAAATTGCATTCTGTGTGGCCTCTTTAAAACGACCAATTCAAATAATGAATTGCTATATGTTGTTTCTTCAGAAAAATTTGGTGGAGCAGTTTGGCCACTCTTTTTGTTGCACTGACACAAAAGTATGTACAACCAAAATAAGCAGCGGGCTCTCCTGGGTTCTTGGAGCTGTTTTCTGTTGCAAGACTACAGCAAGGAGCGTGGCAGCAAGTCTGAAATTTATAGAAGTTATAGACTAGAAATATAGAAATTTATGGAATTTCACAGAAGTACAGTTGACCTGTTGCAAAGAAAGCTACCTATGTTTCCTATTATTAGCATCCCCAGATAACTGCAATTTCACCTTCTTGTTCTCCATCTTGAACACATGCAAGAGTTTCAAGTTGGTGTTAATACTTAGTGGTCAGCTTTGTGTGCCGTAGATCTTAAACTGATACAATAAGCTAAAGGAGCAAATGCAATTTAAAAAAAAAAAATCAGCTATGAGAAATAAAGTGCCAAGTACCAGTACCAAATATCTGTCAGAAATTCAAAAATTATTGTTACAATTATGACATTATGTTTCTTAAAGTAATGTAGAGTAAAAATATGTTAACAGCCCTGAAGCATTACCAAATTGGAGTAGATTAACACAGTAAAAAATAATAAAAAATGCATTAAGTAGTAACTAACTACATATGGGAGGAATTCAGAGGGAAGTCTATGCTAATTTTCTATTAGAGAGAAACATACCAAACCACCACAAGAAATTTAACAATTTAAACTGAAATCTGGGCTGAGAGGATAAGTTAATGTTTTTGTTTGATTTTCTTTTTTTAACTGGAGAAATTCATAAAGGTATTTAAAAAAAGAACTGCTGAAAACACTTCATGGTAATAGAATGAGTCCTGAGATTTTTATTAAGGCAATACAAACAGATAATACACAGTTAATCCTGTTAACACACCAGGTAAAATCCTAGTTTATTAATGCCAGTGACAGAAACCCTGGTGCCCATGAAACTAGGGTTTCATTCCACGTTCATATAATTTGCAGTACCTCTGTGAAGTGGCTGTGACTGATGGCGCTCTGCGGTCTGGAGCCTCAGTGGCTCCAGATAAAACACACTCCCTTTCACCCATCAGAAAAGATTTTGACCACCCTGCTTGAAATTAGGAGGTGAAACTGCATCCTTCCCAGCTTACACGGGAGTGCCACTAAAGCAATGTCCTGGTTTCCTTCGCTTAGTTTCATTCAGTCCTTCAGATCAGAGCAAGTCTGGGCAAGGGACAACCAGAAGGCACTAGGAAAGTGGTATTTCTGCCAATTTTAATTTTGCTTCCTTTCCCTTCCCCAGTCCCCCATCCCCCCAAAAAACTGTTAACATAGGTAGGTGGTTTGGTTTTTTTTCTTTCCAGTCCTCCTTCTCTCCCTTGCCAATACCCAAGTGAAGCCCCACCTCTTGTGGGATGCCCTGAGTCAGCCTTCCCCGGCTCTGTCCAGGTCCTTGTGCAGGCTTTCAGGTGTTACAGAAGGCTTGGTAGATGATGGCTGAAAAATGATGAAACTTGTCCTACTTCAGTGCTGACCGCAAGTAAAGAACAAAGTGAAGTGGACAGGAACCACCTCGTTTTCAATCAGCAACTGCTGGGCTTCTGGGGATGAGGAGGGGAAGGAGAAAGACGCATTTCGGTTTGGAAACACGCCCATGTTTCTAAAATTAAATCAGTTCAGAATTTGCTTCTTCTGAATTTTTCTTAGAATCTGTTTTTTCCTCCGACTCAGAACAAAACCAAAATGTTAAAATGTCTTGCAAATGGAAAGTTCTGGGTTTAACCAGTTTTGTTATCCAAATCTGTGACTGGAGCTGTGTTGTTGTCTGTAGCAATTACTTGTTAGCAAGGGAATACATGAAGATGGGTTTCAGCAGTCACGCATCTCTTACCCAGAGAAGGTTTCTGTGGACATCAGTGGAAGCATTGTCTGAGTAGGACAATGGCGATTGTGCCCCAGTGCCAATGGGAATATTATTTTTCAGTATAATAGAAAAAGACTAAAATATAAGGGAGCCGTGGGAGGAATATAATGATAAGGCAACATGGGAAACCACACTTTAAAAAAAAAAAAAAAAATTAAGTATCCTTGCTAGTTTATTCCTTGGTTACATTAGGCACCGGGCAGAAAGAGGAGCAGAAGATGTTTAATCTAACTAAGTATCTGTGCTTGTAGGTACGTGGAATGGAAATACTAAAGTGGCTATCAAGACTCTGAAGCCTGGCACTATGTCTCCAGAATCCTTCTTAGAGGAAGCCCAAATCATGAAGAAGCTAAAACATGACAAATTGGTCCAACTTTATGCTGTGGTATCTGAAGAACCTATCTATATTGTCACGGAGTACATGAGCAAAGGTGAAGCCAGAGCTGCTGCCCTTGATAACAGTATTTTTTCTTTGTTGATGCTCCTTGGGGATACAGAGAGAGGTGCAGTGTGATGCATGAACAGCATGTGAGGAAAGAGAGGGAACAGGAAGCTAAATTCACCTCTGGCTTTAGAAGAATTATGAATTCAGCTCTGAACTGGACCCAAAACCTGAAATCCACTTGATGTACAAAGAAAATTTGCACTAGGTGGGGGAGGGAGAAGTTGGTGCAGCCTAAGTGCTTCTGACTGCATCACATCTAAACTTCCCTGACAAGTGGAGATTTGCATTTTCTGGGTTTGAATGATATTACACGCTGCTTCCCAAGATCCTAGCTTTTCCTGGTGCCAGAGAGTTCATTTGGCATCTTATTTCAGTGTTTACTTGTCAGCCTAAGATTCTGTTCCTTCTTTTAGCAGTCCTGAGTTCTGTCACACGCACCTCACTCTCAGATCACGGCTTAATTTTCAGTCCAGCCCGTCTATCATTTTAATACGTTATTTGCACATATGATTCTTTCCCTCCTCTTTCCCCTTCCCCTTCTCCCTTCTCTTTTTCTTTAAGCTACTTAACTGGTAACCATGTAGTAAAATGAGAAAAGGAAAACTTTTCACTCTGTCAGATCTCCAGCAGGGGTGCTGAGAGCAGAGCAAAAAATCTGCTTGTTTTGGAAAAGCAAATGAACCAAATAGGAAACATAAGTTCTCACAGGGAAGTTTCATTGTACATTGGAGGATACACTCTGAAATTTTAAGTGCATTTTTTCAGTCTATTTGGAGTTGATTTTTATTTTCCTGGCAGGTGCCTGCCCACCTCCCTCCTCAGAGGCATCCAAGCCCTGACTAACTCACACTTTAATCATATGTCTCAGTGACAAGCATGTGCTTTTTTCCCTTTAAAAAAAAAGACCTCAAAATCCTTCTGAAGTACGTGGTTTATTTTGGCTTACTTTACTAGTTTTTACTGTAACATTTTACATCTTTGGATCTGAGCTTGAGGCTGACGATTTATCAAGGGAGAAACGCCTAATCATCTGTCTTTTCCCCTTATTTATTAAACCAATTCACTGACCTTATTTAAAGGAGACTGCCACATTTCTCTGAATACAAGATTGGGAAGGGAGCTGTAGCATCCTAGGCTTTTTTTAAAAGCTACAGGGAACCTCCTTGCTTTCCCTTGCACAGGGAAGTTATGTCCTTATTGCTTTTGCTGAAATTGCTTTCATTTGATCTCCGCTTTGTCTTCTCTAGTTTTGCATAGTAGTCTTCTAAAATTAATGGTTCGTGCTACATTTAGTTATGGGTTACCTAGAGAAGGAGCACTACTAATTTCTAGGGAAAATTAGCCTTTGTTAATGCTAGCCCCTTTGGGCTTACGAGGCTCCAGGCTGACCTTTCTTTTGGAGGAGGTTGAGCTGGGATCTGACTTTTTCCATAGCTTGTGTGGCCTGGAACTGAGCTGGTGCTTTGCAGCTAGCTGAGGCCTTTAGAGAGCAGCAGGTATGTAGTTTCAAAGAGCACTGGAAAAGTTAAGAAAGATCAGCTTTCTCAGTAATGGTCAGGAAAATGTTGTTTCTTTTCCCTGCAACTCTCTTTGGACTAGTGACATATTCTTCTGCAAGCCAACCTTAAAGAAGAGTGAAACAAGTATAACAGGAGAATTCTAAGATATTGTGGGTTTTTTTGAAACTGCCCACTTGAACGCAAAACATCGCTGTCTTTAATATTGCATATCTTGCTGCACCTCCATCCTGATGAATAGCCATTGTTTCCCTAACATCTCTCTATTTTGTCACCTTTTGCAGGGAGTTTGCTAGATTTCTTAAAAGATGGAGAAGGAAGAGCTTTGAAGTTACCGAATCTGGTGGACATGGCAGCCCAGGTCTGTCTTCAGAGTATTGAGCCTTAGGTGTATATGTTTTATAGCCTGTATATGTCTGAGTTGATTTTAAAATGCACCGATTGTGTTTCATGCTTCTCGCAGGTGGCTGCAGGGATGGCGTACATCGAGCGAATGAATTACATACACAGAGATCTGCGGTCTGCAAACATTCTGGTGGGGAATGGCCTAATATGCAAGATTGCCGACTTTGGATTGGCAAGACTGATTGAAGACAACGAATATACAGCCAGACAAGGTAGATACGGTGGCAGGCATAGCACTGAGTGTCATTCTTGTGACAGGAGAAGAGTGGAACATGGCTTTAAAAAGCGCTCTCTCATGTGCTTCGGGGCAGCTTTCAGTAAATCCTGAACTCACATTAACTCCTAGACCAGAACTTCACTTCTGAATGCATGTCCTAAAGAGAACGTCTTATTTAGTTTAAAAACTGACCAAAATGCAACAAAGATGATGAGTGAGAGCACAGGTGGGTGAAGTGACAGTAATGACAAGATCCTCATGGTGCCATAACAAAGAGGATACTTTACTGACCAGCCTTGAAAGCCTGAATGGGGTAATCCAGAAAAGCCCACGTAAGCTATTTCTTTCATAGTGTGCCTTTTAGTATTTACTAACCGCTGTCAACATTGCTGAGCTATTCTTATTTTCTTTATTTCAGACAGGTCAAAGAATTGTGTCTCTATGCAATGGAGCTGTCTCTCTGAGCGCTATGTTTTCTTTGGGAACTTAAAAAGTTACTTTAATAGGAAAGCCATTTTTCAGTGCCACACAGAGTGCTGGGCACAGCCGACCACTGATACACTATAAAAATGTATCAAAGACTATTGTAGCTTTTTTTAAAAAGCATGTGTGTGTTCAGACTGAGCCATGACACAGGCTCTTTGTAGTTAGTCATTCTTTACCAGTCATGCTTAGTTGTCAGATGTTGGTCCAAGTTTGCAGAGCTACAGTTTTGTTCTCTTTCTGTTGGCAGTACATTGGTAGTGCTTGCTCAATACATGCCAGTAAATACCACTCCGTCCATTTCAGTGCCAAAGCCAAGGAGCGTCCCGTTAAACCCTGTTGTATGTCATCAGAAAGCACAGGTCGGTTAAGTACTTCATAACCCGCATTTGCCCCTTTCTGTAGTGAGTTTTTTCTCTTGACCAGAAGTCCCTGTTTCAGCACGGATTTTGCCATTAATTCTTAGGAAAGAGCTAACCTCTTTCTGTAACTTTCAAGTGTTGACAGAAGGAGCCAGAGAGTTTCCAACATGCCTTGTCTTGGCCTGGGAGCAGCAGCTCTCATGCCATTCGCACCCCTCTGAAGTGCTGTCAGCAGTACCTAGTCGCAGGGATGTGGACCAGAGGCTGTGTCCACCCTAAAAGTTGCCTGCTTCACATTCGGACAGCGAGGCCTGATTATTCTCGGGGGGGCCTTGAAGAACCCATGGTAGGTACTAATGCAGAGAGTTAACCACTATTGATTTCAGCCTGAGGGTGGGAATTGCTCCTTGCTAGAAAAAAGAGCCTCGTGTCATTCTCTCTGGAGTAACAAGAGTGTCTGCAGGCTCTGGTAGACAGAAAGCTGCGTGCTTGCCCTTCCCCTGGGTAAAACGAGAAGAGTGTTCCCTGAACAAGGCAGCCAGATCCAGTCTGCAAAATGGTTTTGAAACAGAGTCCTATATTATCTCTGTTTCTGTCTGGTTTACTGCCATGTCTTTTGTTCCCTTTGGAAACGACCCAACGTATAGTTTGACATGACTAATTATTTGTTTTAATAGATAAGTATGTGACCTGCTTCTGGCCAGATCTCTTCAAGCTCCTGATCCCTGGGAAATCCTCTGTTGACCTGTTTGCTGCCTGGTTTAAATCTCTCAGAGGCTCTTGCCCTCTTCACATATTAGAAAGCTATGGAAACCTGCCTGACTGATGTTGAGGAGAAGCTTAGATTTTTTAAGACAATAAAAATGATTGGATTCTGGGTGGGAAAACTTCAAGCTGAGAAAAGCATAATGCTGGGACTGGCAGGGAGAGGGAGCATAGCCGTGAGTACCTCCTGCCCTTCTTCCATGGCAGAAATCACTTGTATTGTGGAAAAAGTGGCTGGGAAGGAACTAGTTTGGCTTTTAACATGCATCACTGATGATCAGGAGATCTGAATCGCCTTTGCCTGGCTTCATCTCATGGTGCGAGTATGGAGAAGTCACCTATCCTTCCCATGCTTCAGGGCAATGGGCAATACTGCCTTCCCCTGACCTCAGGGTCAGGCTTAAGTCCTTCAGAGCTACAGAATTCCTTAAAAGAGAGACCCAAAGAGCTGTAATCGCAGGAATTCTGTAGAAAGGTTTTCCTACTTTCGCTAATGTTTTTTTGACCCTTTCTTAAGTGGTAGCTTGTTTTAGGGAGGGGTGCATTTTTGACCAAGCAGCACACTCAATTTACATTTCATCATAATTAACCTGGCTTCCAAGCCAGTTGGGCAGCCAGGGTGAGCCTAGAACCTTTAATTTATAGAGGAAGAAACAGGGTTTCTAATGGGCCGCGGAATTTTTCTTCAAGTGGGATTCAGTCCCAGTTTGTTTAGTTAAACTTCAGATTTGAGCATTGCTTGGTGGAGACCACAGTATCAGAAGGAAATGGTTGCCTCTGCTTGTTTCCCATGACCTATTACTTCAGCCTCCAAGGGGATGCATCTGGGGACTGCTCTGTTTATCTAGCTGACTACTGCTTCAGTGGGAATTTTGACACAAGAGGAGAGCCGGGCCAGCGGAGGGGAAGGGGATGGGGAGCGCTCCAGACTGGCAGCTCCTGTGGGAGAAAGGAAATGTTTTGCCTTATGAAATCTGAAGATTAAAGCCTTTGGTCACTCCTTTGGACTCTCCTCAGCAGTCATCTTTCTCTTGGCTTAAGTGTGTTAGTACAGTGCTCGCTGTCGGCATGGGGCAGAGGTGGTTTTCTCCAGCCTTGCTTGATCTCCTGTTCCCTTCCCCCACTGTCACTTTTGTCTCCGATTAAATATTTTGAAAGGAAACAGATGGGGATGCTTTGAGCCCCAGCGGGCTAGAGTGCAGGATTCCTGAACCTGTGTGGGTATTACTCAGCCTGGTGGTAACGTTTTACTGACCAGTTTATTTTCTTTTTGATTTGAACAAAGGAGGCCTGACTGCTCCTGATTTATGAGAGGTAAATAAAAAGCGGTTCGTTGTCTGTACTGCCATTTCTCAGCAATCGTCAGGAAGGAAAGAGATGGTCACGCCACTAATGATTTAAAGTGTGTGACTAGCAGCTATACACTGCCATTAAATAATACAAAAAAAAGTTCTTGGCTTGTAACGAGCATTTGGCTCCTCTTGCTTTTAGAGGAAGTGAGTAATCAAAGGGGAAAAACATGCCTATTAAAGTGACGCCCATTTTAAAGGCTACACTGGTGGACTGTATTGCAGCCTGCACCGTCAGGGCTTGCTTCTTTTGGCTGTTGCTGTTGCAACATCTTCCCCCACACACAGTGTCAGGCATTCAGTCTTGTTTCCTTCCATCGGTGATGATGCTTGTGTCAGTCCTGTAAGGCAAGCCTTAAAACCTCTGGTATCCTACAGGACAGAGAGAAACTTCCCATCACCTCCAACACAGGATTTCCCGTGCAGTTCTGCTACCCTTACACTGATCTGGGTCGCAGCTATGTGGAGTTTTGGCCAAGCACATGGCATTTTTGTGGAGAGTGCCGAGTGCTCCACAGAGTTGCTGGGGAAGAGTTGTTACTATTCTAAGCAGTAGCAGCTGATACAAATTTAAAATTGCCTTAATGAAAAAAGAGCACAGTTATTTTCCAGGCCTTGTTTCTACTGCATACACTGGCAGCACTTACAGCAATGCCGCTCCAAACACATATGAAACAATAAGGATCTTTCTGATGCCTTCCAGACAAGTCAGAGCTATTTTGGGAGCTCTAGTACATGTTTGTAAATTCTCAGATCGTTTTTGCCTCCTTAACACTTAGAAATATCTCCTTCCTGCACTGCTTAAAAACAAGTGATGCTTCTTATTTTGATTTCCTAGAAATGAGCGGGGATTTTTTTCTCCTTCCAGGCTCTCCCCAGTCCTTTTGTAGAGACTTGGCTCCCAGCTCACCAGCTAATCAGATCTCTCTTGTTCGCGACTGACTGTACTGCGGGTTGTAACGTCCAGGGCTTTGTTCTTGCTCTTTGCCTGCCATTCCCCAGGCGAGCCGTGGAGCGGATAGGAGGAAGGACTCTTGCTTCTCAACAGTCAGCCCCCGGGGTCCCGGAGGGGGATCACTCATAACACTCCTACAGAGATGCCATCTGCTCTGCAAGAAGGAGCGTGGCCAGGTCAAGAGGAAGGGCGAGGGTAAGGGGGGCATGCAGGCAGAGGGTGAGAGGGGTGTTCAGACCCCCAGTTCCACCCCTTGTTCCCCGCTTCCTTGGGAGGGGTCAGCCTGCAGAGCCTGCTTCTGATCGCTGATGTTTTGCCAGGCTTGTAATTTCATGTTCGTTCTCACAGCACAAAAAACGTAGTTGCGCAGTCCCTCCCACACAGCACTCATCATCGCCTACCAGGGCTGACTCGTTTCCTGTAACGTGCTTGCTTCAGCACTTCGTTTTTACCTTTTGTGGCTTTCCCTTTCCAGCCCCAGGAGCAATTCGCTGCTGCACTATGTTCTCTGGTCGCTAACCCGAGAGTTCCCATGGTTTTTGGGTCTTAGAGCTCAGGGTGCTGCATTGGGTTTGGTTTTAAGATACAAGAGGTAGCAGCTTTGTAGCATTTCTGGAAACAGGATCATTATCAAGCTGGCAGTGGCTCTGGGGCATGAATTTCAGAGGTTTCTGCTTCGTCAAGATTTAGATCTGAAAAAACAAAGCTCTGAGGGATTTTCACTCGCTTCAGAAGAAACCATGCTGAGAGTTGTACGTCAAGGTCACTCAATCATCCCAGCCCCCTCCGCTCCTTCTCATCACGCGACCTGCTTATAGCTGACAAAGAATTAAAGCAGGGCCACGGATTGATTTTTCCAAAGGAAATCCTCCTGGGAGATAACCTGTGTGAATGCCTGGGCAGGGCCGGGCAGAGGTCCCAAGAACAGGGCTGAGCCTCACAAAAATCCTCAGAGGTAGGAGGCAGGGCCAGCTGCCCTAACAGTAAATTGTACGAGCAGCTTTGGCTTGATGTGGTTGTGAGCAGTGCAGAAACCCAAAAAAGGCTCTCCCCAGGCTGAAATGTTTCAAAAAACGGACAAAGATAAAAGCTGCAGATTAGTACCTCGCTTTGGGGCAAAGACAGGCTATCCTGACCTAATGAATACAGTGTGCGGTTGGTTTGTACGCGTGGAGTTACTGACCTGCTAGTTTGTAATAAAACGGGTTCCAGCAAAAAAAAGATAAATCCCCCCCCACTGATGTAAAGTCTGCCTTCAAAGTAGGAGATAGGCTGCCTTGTCAGCTGGGGTAATTTGGCTTATCCGATTTATTAACATGCTTGTCAGTAATAAGCATTTTATCTGATGATCTGATGCTGTAATTTGTTTGCAGCACAAAGTCAGCTTGTTTAATAAGCTGATGAGGCCTGGGCAGAGGGAGGGGGTGGGTTTTTTAATCAGCATGTTGGGAAGAGAGTAAACTGTGTGTCGGTCAGGAGCCATGCCCAGCATCTGGCCTGTGCGAACACTTCAAATAGCAGTAGCAATCGGGAGGCTTTGGAGCGGTGCTCACCACGTTTGGGGATTTTTGTGTTTTCACAGAAGTGCATCGCCTGTGTCTCCAGTGCCAGACATTAGATGGGAGCAGCACTTTGGGGGGACCCCTGTTAGACACACACACACCCCTACACACACCCATTCACACAAGCTGTGTGTGATCTCTTTATGTTATGGCAGTGCATGTGTTGTACCTGCAGCTGTGCAGGTGGCTAGGCTGGTACGTCCTCACTGGTCTCTGCTCTCCCCTTACTGATGGCTCTGCCATGCTGGGTTGCAGGCTCTCTTGGACCATCTAGCCTCCAGCATGCGTCGCAGGGCCAGAAAACCATGAGGCAAGGCTCTGCTAGCGACCTCTCTGCCAACCTTGTCTTTCCCTCCTCCCCGTCTATCACTTCAAACCAAAGTTCAGGAAATACTGCACAAAATGCAGAACATGCAATTTTTGTATTAGTTGTTTTAGACAGAGAATCACCCACTGCAGAAACGTAGAAACATAACGAGTAGCTATCCTGTCATCGGAAAATCCACAGCACAAACCACCTGTCTTCTCCAGCAGTGCTCATCACAGTCCAATGGGGTTTGTACTGCTCTAGCTCTCAGGAAAAGGGATGTGCTGGGATTGTCCCCCCTTCTCACCTACTTACCTTGCTTCTCATCTTCCCATGGTCCCTTGACACACCACATACTCACCTCCCAGTGCCACACCAGCAGTAGATGAGGAAGGCAAAAATACCAGGGGAGTTGGCCACAAAGGAGTCTGAAGAGATTTCTTTCCTCCAAAGATGAGTTGTAGGTGGTTGCTACCTTTGGATCTGAGTATGAAGCACAAGGGAATTAGACCAGGTTTGGCTCAGCTTCTCGGAAAAACACAGCTGATTAAAGAAAAAAAATTTGTTGAGTAAAATGTATGCAACATGCAAACAAGCAAACCCTCATGCTTGGCTATCCCACACACCACCAGCCAACGTCCAAGCCTTCAGGCTGCTGGCCAGTCTGGAGCTATTCGTTCAGCTGGCATAGTGTGTGTGTACTATCATCTCAGCTGCACGTATGAGAGAGCAGAGGGACATTAGCCCTCATATTCACAGCATGCCTGCATAAGCCCATCTAAAGCCATGCACTGTAGGCCTAGGGAACCCGACCACCAGATAGATGCAGCTTGCAGTTTTTCCGGGGATCAGCAAGGGGTGTATAGCCCCAGGATCTGCTGCTGATTGGGGAAGCTGGTGGCAACCCCACATGGCTGCTGGTGCTGCTGAAGCAGGGCCAGCTTCCAGGACAGAGGCTCAAGTGATGGCAGGCTGCTGCTACAGAGATCTCGGACATCACAGCCGAGGCAGTTTTTAAGCGAAGATGAAGTTCTGTAAATTTTGAGTCCTGTAAACTAAGACTGGTCCCATGAAGAAGTGTAAGTTAGGGAGATTGAGACCAAAGCCGAGCACCCAAATTTTAGCTCCTGCGTGCATGTCAACTAGTGAAAATACAGAAAAGGCAGACTTTTTTGAAAGTGAATAGACATCCAAAAATCCTCCGGCACCTTTGCAAATCTAACCACTGATGTGTTGATGTTTAACTAGACTTAAATTCCTGACTTCAGGCATTAGGGATTTGAAACTTTGTCTCGCGTCTTTTAATTTAGCAGGACTTCTTTGAGCAACTGCGATTTTCCCTGGAAAAACATTTGTTTCTGAGTAATATTCTCTCTTAGGATCACTTACATGTAGAGCAGGAAAAATTTTAGCGCACCTGATGTTTTACTAAGTAAGGAGATGAGAATTACCGTGTTTACTTTGTACTCTGAGTCAAGTCAGATTGCGGCGTACAGCAGAAGACACGGGGCATCGAGCGCTGGATGTGATGGCAGAACAGCGCTGGCAGGGAACTGTAAACAGTGCCGTAACTTCACTCCCTGAGAGTGATTTGTCCACGTTGTTACACTCTCCACACTCCTCCTAAAAGCTAAGAGAATTTTTATGAGAGGGTGGTGAGAAGTCAAAGTCAGTCTGTTTCCAAATTCAAGAGTGTTTGTCACTAGGGATCAGCAATAAGCAATGCAACTCTTTTGCCTATATGTTAATACAAGGCACCAGGGAAACGTCTGCATATTTTTTCGTTCATGCTACAAGTTAATTATTACCACAAGACTTTTCTTTAAAGTCATACTGAAAATATTTTCCCTAAGAAAACAGTAAATGATTGGAAAAGCAAATAAATCAGTGTTTAAAGGCTTGTTATCTTACCATCCTTACCACAACTGGCTCCTGCAAGCTCTGATGATGGATGAGCGCATTAGAACTGCACGTATTTAAGGCACTACAGACTTTTCAGTGCCAGGAGCTTAAAGTACACTGTCAAGTTGTAAATCACAGGCCAAAGTTGTGCCTTGACATCATTGCACTCCAAGCAACTCAAATAGCAGTATTATTTTTAAGTCCTTGCATGTTTCTAATGAAATATTAGGTTTGTTTTTAATTTACGTTTTTACCATGTTTGTTTATTTTGCATTTTGCTCAGCTTGAGCAAGGAAACTGTGAGGTACATTTCCAATAAATCTCACTTCTAGTCATACGTGCTGTGTTCGACTTGCAAATATCACAGGGAAATGTTAATTTAAAACATTTTGGGAGAAAGAATTTCTATTCTATTGGGCTTATTGGTTTTTAAAACTTTTTTTTCTTTTATAAGATGTCAAACCTAAATTAAAATGTCTTAGCCTTCCCTTGGGATGTGGGACAAACACACCACTTCCCTGCTAAGCCTTTCTTTCTGCCCTACGTGTCCCTCCCACCTGTCCTCTCTGTCCGTACTCCATGGAGCTGTTTGCTAACACTTGCCTGCAGCTCTGTCCACCTGCATGTGTTGCAGAACACAACAGTCACCCGTGAACTGGTACTTTGATTCTGTCTCTATTCTGATTAAGACTCATTTATTCTTCCATTAGGTGCAAAGTTTCCCATTAAATGGACTGCGCCAGAAGCAGCATTGTATGGACGGTTCACAATAAAGTCGGATGTGTGGTCTTTTGGGATCCTACTGACAGAGCTGGTAACAAAAGGGAGAGTGCCATACCCAGGTAAGAAAACAGTCTGAGCCCTGCTTCACCTGGGGAAAGGAATGGGAATGAGCCATATGCTTAAATTGGAATGTTTGTTTATTTTCACTGGGCTCAAAGGAGGATGGTTATCATGCGTAAGTTCTGTGTATGCTTGAAAACAGTCCTGACTCTGAAAGCTGCTTTGTGATGGTCATGATAAAAATGACAAGAGGACAGAAAATCCAACATATTCATTTCTAATTTTTTAATTGTTCTCAATTCAATTAATATACTTTCTAGACAAATAAAGAAAGCACTATACTGTGGAGCAAATACTTCTCCATAGCATGACATTCACTTTAAGATACCAACAGTTAAAATCCCAGAGTGGCATTACTCTGTTTATTCTGTCAGTCTGGTTCCCTGCAAGGTTTGATCACTGTCTGAATGTCTGGTATTACCCAATCTCTTTTTTATAAACTCCCAGATTTCAATCCTTGTTTTTGAGATGGATGGAAAGGAAAGAAAATAATTCTGTCATGTGCAGGCCGGAGCTTATGGCAGGGTCACAGCGGGGCCAGATTCTCTGCATGGGGGAACTGGGGGCCCCATGGATCTTTTTTGAACCCCTGCCAAGTATCTGATGGATTAAGATTTGTAGGAGGGGTGACTGGATCTGCCTATGCAGAAAGAGCTTTTCATTCTGTTGCCCCCCTGAAGATTGTAGGCATTCAGGTGAAGAGGAAAGGGGTGAGGTGAAAGCAGTGCATTACATGGAAAAGAATTTAATCCCTTCATTTTCTTATCAGCACACATACTAACAACAGGGCATCTAGCTGTATCTTTATTCTTTTTATAAAAAAAAATCTCTAAATACTCACCAGTATGGCTTTGTGCATTGCAGCTGATTTAATGGAAAGTGCCCTAAAGCAGTTTCAATTTTCCAGTCTGTGCTGTGATCAGGCAGTCAGATCTATACATCAGATTGCACAGGAGAAGCATCAAGGTGGAGTTCAGTTTATCCTATGGTATCTCACGCCACTTCAGAAGGCTGAACTCAGCAAAACTAAACTCCCAAAGTTTTACCAGGAATTTCAACTTTGCTAGCGCCTAGCAGCCAGTAACTGATATTTGGGAAGAGAATATGGGGACTGGAAGGCTTCTCATGATCAGCAGTGAATTTTGGCGTGATTAACAGGGAGCAGCTTAGCAAAGCTGTGACTGTGACAACAGAATGAGGTAGCAGAAAGCGAGATGACGTGTTTCTGTGGGGTGGATGAGTCCCTCTGCCCAGCACTTCCCCATGCAGTTAAAGAAAAGCGGGTGTTGCCACCACCCGGAGTGGCTGTGTCAGTAGCCGGCACAAAGGTCTTCTTGCCATGAGGATTACTGGCAGTGGCATGGGAGAGCCGTGATTTCCACGGGTTTATTGAGGGTTAAATGCAGACATGGCAAGGTGTGCCAAGGTCGAAGACAGAAAGAAGATGAGTAAGACTTCGCTGATACGGTGTTGCTCCCAGAGCGTGGGCAATGCTCCTCGCTGGGCTGCAAGAAGAGGAAATTCCTAGTCACTACCAGCAGAGTGGGTGCACAGGGGCTCTCACCGACAGGGCAGAGTTAAGGTGATTTTTTTTCCTGAGCTTCATGTTGGTGGGGCAGAGATGCTTAGTGACTAGCCTTCTCTCTTATCACATGCATGAGCACAGACACATGCACACACACAGGAAAAATACTATTCTGGGCAAAAGTGACCATCTACGCCCTGTGTTAACTCACAAGTTTGTAACTGAACACAGTGCTGGCCATAGCAGCAGAGGATGTCTGCACTTCCCAAGTGTTCCTTTCCCTCCCTGAAGGAGAAAGAGGCCACTGGATGTGTGTTTAAGTGCTTGCAATATATAACTTCTTGTAGGACCCACGACAGAAATCTCAGGCATGGTCTGTGTCCTGAAAATGTGGACAGTTTTATTATGTGGCAGTTTGAGCACATCAAAGACAACTAGCGCGTCCTCCCCCTTCATCCCTCACTACATAAAGCCCTCACACGCTGAAAGTCCTTCCTGCTCACTCTCCCCCACCCGCGCTAGGAAGACATCAAGTAGCTGGAAGCAACTTTTTGTGTGTTTACCTATCACAGAGTCAGCGATTTTCTGGATGGTCATGTACTGCCTTGGTTACACACTGCCCGAGCTCTGCGCCAAGGCCCTTCCTCCCCACTGGGACTCCAGCCCTGCTCAGCCAGGCGGTCTTAACCATTCTGATGGTCACCATCACTCCCCTCTCTGTCAGTTTTACCTAAGGGCAGCCTCTATTTTAAATTTGAATTTCCAAAGTCTTTAGAGATTTCAATTCGGTGTCATTACCCGGACCCTAACTGGGAAAGCTTTTATAGGCTGGAGGGGAACTGGGGCCTTCTCAGAAGGGTCTGTCTCTGCATGTGGGTTGAAAAGAGGGCTCAGACTTCCCAAGGTGACAAAGACTTCCTGAGGTCCTCAGAAAAGACTATTTTCCCCTGACCTAGGATCATCCATCTCCTCCTTCATGCTGGGAAGAGGAAGGACCTCCTGGAGGGATAAAGCCTCATGAATTCAGGTCCCTGTCTGGGGCAGGGAGTAGGGTTCATCAAATGCACCCACAGGGCTTTTCCTGCCATCGTGGCATGGCTTGCACAAGGAGGAAAAGATGTGAGTTCAGCCACCCTGAGAGGCAAGACTCAGCCCTCCTCACCCAAGTAGACAACCTGTAGGTGAGAGAATGCAGTTTGTAGGCACTGCCAGCCATTTTGGCACCCAAGGCATGTGGATTTGCAAGCTCTGGAAAGGGTCAGCCTTGAAACAAAGAGGGTCATGGAGCTGTCACTCTGCTGTAATACCCAGTTTCTGAAATAGTTGTGGGCATGTTGTCCTGGTGTTCCTCCTTACAGCTTGTAGCAGGCCGGGGGGAGCAGAGAGAGGCCCTCAGACAAAAGGATTGCTCTCTTGCTTGACAAGATCTTAGTGCCTGGAAAGGTTATTTTTAGCACACGCCCCAGTCCTGTGGTGGTAACCATGCCCACAGAGCACTGTACCTCATGCTGTGGAGAACCAAGCATTGCTTTAAGGTTGTGTAGAAGGAGGGAGAAGCACAACGAGGAGGACAGAAGAAGGCAGGCAATATATAGGAGGGGAACAGACTGTGTGGAACAGGACTTGGCATTCATTGTCCCCCAGATTTCAACCAGTTCCTGTCCTGATGCCCCATTTTGGAAGAGAGGCTGCAGCAGTGGCGGGACATGTGAGCAGTAAAGATTTTGCTGGCAGAGATGAAGATCGGGCTAGAGTTCATAACCAAGCCTTGCCCCAGATCCTATAGTTCCCACAAGCAAGACTGACTTTTTGACAGGTGTCCTCATCTTCATCCTTCAACCAAGACTGTTTCTCTGTCAATGGACGTAATGGATTGCTATGATAGCTAATTTATTAGTGCTTTTCCTAGCCTTCCATAATGCTTTCCCATTCTTTTAACAAGGCAGCTGATTGAAATAAGGAATTGTCACATTCTTTCTGGTCATTGAGGTTCTATTTCCCCTATTACAATGGGGAAATAAAAACTAGATATGGGCAGAAGAGGAGCCAAGTTTAAAAATAGTCTGCTTAGTCGACCTTTTTCAATGTCTGTTTCTTTCCCCTTTCACAAATTCCCCTTGAATCTTAGTTTTGTTTTTTTTAATGGAGTTTAAGAGGCTGCATTTCTGGAGCAGTAGTCAGAGAATTTGGGTTTTTTTAACATGTTAAAAAAAAATCTCAGCTGCACCAAACAAGCACCTCTGAACTTGCCCTTTCTGCTTTCTGCTGCACTTGTCATATCAAGAGCATTTACATTTTATGTCTACTGTGACAGCCACCACCACGCTGCTATCCATGTTGCTGCCTCCAGCCAGGCAGCTCTTTAAGTTTGGGCTCCAAGCAGGTCTGCAGTCCCTGGGGAGCTGTGCTCAGCCTCCTCATCCATGGGGGAAGCTGGGCCACAAGTGCCAGAGAGTGAGCGCATGGTCCGCTGCCCAAGGCTGGGGCCGAGTACACATCAGTGAGCTGGCATATGTGTGTGTCATCGTGGATGGTAGATAAGGAGAGAGATGCGTACTCAGCACATAGCACAGATAAGCTCAGGTCGGTTTCTTTGTAAGCTGGAAAGCTCCACTCACAAATGCTGTAGCTCAAAGTTGCATCTCTTATACCAAGCAAAGAATTACTTATTTTAAAAACAAAAACAAAAAAAAAAAACAAACAAAAAAAAACCCGACAGATCTTGATAGCCTAGCTTTGTGGGTGTTTTGAGGATGTGGAGCTGTTGGGGGTTTTCAGGCCTTAATTTCTAAATGAAGTGGCATGACTTCCAGATTTTTAAAACTAGTTACTACTTTTGCACAGAAATAACTAGGTTCATATTGTACTCAGTAAGAACAGCATTATGCTTCAAATGTTGTCTTCCTTTAGGAGCAGCTTTTCAGTCCCCTTCAGTGCTCTTATCATGCCTGTGTATGGAATAATCTCCCTGCCTAAGTCCCATATCCCATCCCTGGGCCCTCACCTCTGGCTTTTCTTTGAGGCTGTCTATGGAAGTTAGAAATTCTGCTTCTAGATCAAACTGAACAAAACCCAAAAATCAACCTGTCTCCATTGTACCTCTCTCTTGAGAGCATGCTCTGAGTGCCAATGTGATCCAGCCTCTCTGGAGGACTACACAGTTTTACCTTCTCAACTGTACTAGAGAAGGGCCAATATGTCCACGTCTGAGGAACCTTTGAACATTAGCAGAGGCACAGCTCTGGGTTCTTGGAGAATCTGAAATATGGCACGTCTGGGGATGGACAGCAGCTGAGCTCTTGTTTTAAGAGTCCTACTTCAAGCATTTGTGTCTGTATTAGTTTGATCATTGGTCTGAAAGCATGCAGTGGGCCTTGAAGGAGCACAATTCTCAGTCCAACAGAAGAAAGCAAGAATAAAGTGACTTAAAACCACCACTGTCCTCGCTGGACTTCACGTTGCCGAAAGTAATCTATATAGCTTACTAGCTTTGGATGTGGGGATGCTGCCTAGTTACAGTAATGTTTCCTGTCTTCTGGAAGAGCAGCGTTGCCCAGATCTGTGCTATTTGCACATCTGCTCTGCTCCATCTAATCAAGCTCCTCAGAACACTCCAAAGCACTTTCCAGTGTTTTCTCTAGCCACAACTGGAAACTTTACTTTATACTCTTTTATGTCACAGTAACTCTTACTACTGTAGCTTTTCTAGGAAAAGTCAAGCGTTTCTGTCCCCAGTCCATATGGGCAGTAGATTTTTATTGTACTGAGCATTAAAGTAGTTGTATCCTGTGGCATCCTAAGATCATTGGAGGTTTCACTAATAAAGCTGGATGGTGGGAGGTTATTTCAATTTTGGTTTTCTCAGGGAATAAAAAGCTAATGGAAAAGTCATCTTTTGGAAATTGGATGTTTCCTTCTTGGTCCAAATGGTAATTCTAGAAACATCATGAGGACAGACTGATTTTTCAAGCAGGTGAAATAGCTGTAGTCTACAGAAGATATTGCTGAGTATTTTATTCCACAGATTTAAGGATTTTAGGATAAACTTTTAAGGGGTCTAGAACTGTACTGCAAGCAGAATTTCATTTATTATTTACTAAAAGAGTTGAAACTCCTGTGTATTCATTAGGAGAGAGGAGTTGTGCAGACTGCTCAAATATTCTCTCTGTGGTGTTAGAAATGCAGACACAACAGGCTCCTGCTATCAAAAGAGAAACACTAGAACTTGTACAATAAGATAAGCGAATGTAGATAACAGGTTTGTAAACATAAATAGGCCTTTTAAGAGCTAAAAAGTATACCTGAAACACTGCTGTTTTTATAAGTCTGACTAATAATCCAATCAATTTTGAAAAAAAAGGTATTTGAAAGTCCTTTTTTAAATTAGCAGCACATGTCAAAACCAACTTAATTTCTTTGGCAGATCCTAGGTGCTGCAGCCCTTGCTGGATGTATGAATTCCAGTAAGGAACATGAGGATTATTTGGTTTAGTTTCATATCTGGATTTTACTGGGAGGGAGGGGAAAGGAGAAAGGAAAAGAAGGGTGTTTTTCTGCATTATACCATGATGAGAAAACCTGGCTTGACTGACTTTCCAGGGACAAAAAATGACTGTGATTTCAGGCAGCAATGTCTCTTTTACGTTCTTTTTTCTGTCTTTTTTTTAAAAAAGGGGAAGTGAAGAGCTGTTTAGGTTTTTCTTCCCCCCTCTCTCCTCAGAGTTTTTCTTCCAGCATAGAGTTCCTTATCAAGTTTCAGAGTGCACTTTGCAGCACTGAGTAATGCCCTGGATAAAAATACCAAACATCTGATATCTTAGAATAACAAATCAGTTGGGAAGGAGCTTTTCTGCTGCTGTTGCTTCCACCCATGTTGTACTTAAAGGGGTACTGACAAAATAAAAACAAAGAACGCAGTTTGTTTGTGGTTTAGGTATATACAATAGATGAGTTACTGGTAATACTTATTTTCATAGCCTTTAATATGTAAGGGAAGCAAAGCACAGCAGAAGTTCTTACCCCAAAATATGACGCAATTCAGCTGATTCAAAGGCAAAGATATGAAAAAAGGGTGCAGATTTTTATTCAAAACACAAATTAGAAAAACTAATAATGAGAACACAATGCGAGCAAAATGCTCCTTTTTTTCTTGTAGCATCTTGAAAACAGCAAGACCAGAAGGTTTGGGTTGATGCTGCCTTTGGGTTGGTGATGACTAACAGACCACTAGCATTGTTTTGTAATTTAATAAAAAAGTAAAATATGTTTGAAAATGTTCTTGTTGGATAATGAGGAACACCCAAATATTTGTTCAGTGTGTGGCAAGCTATTCTGGTTTGTTGTGAGCCTGTGTGACCTAACAGTTTGGAGTCAATAATGCAGGAGAACCTCAACTCTGTGCAAAAACTGATGTCCGCAGAGGACTGTTATTACTCTGCTTTCATCGTTCTGTGGAGTCCTAACCACAGACCACTTTAGGTGCCATACAAAGTGCTTGCTCCTACTCATAAACATCTAACACCAAAAATATGGTGGGTGGATGCAGTTGATAACTCAAACACAAGAAACCAGTGCTAAAGTGCTGGTCTGCAGGTTAGGAAATACTGTAAATCAGTGATCTAACCTTTCCTTTTCCAATTATCACTGCTAAAGGGAACGGTAAGGAGAGGTTTGTAGGAGGATGAGGCAGTTTTCTGGGGAGGTTCCTGCATGCACAACAGGCAGCATAAGAAACAGCACATCAGTGCTTGTTTGAAAATGGAAGGTGCTGCAGTAAGCTAACCAGAACTGTGAACTGACCAGGACATGGCCAAATGAGAGCCTAAATGCCGGTGGGGCAGCCTGCGAGAGGCTTTGAAAGTGAAGACAAGCAGCTGATATTTTACATAGTAGGCAACAAGGAGCAAGTGGCAAGATCATGCAAGGGGTGATTCCAGTAACAGGCTAGGAGTGATCCTTGCAGAGGCACTGCAAATGGATAGCAGCAGGAGAAAATTACCCTGTCAAGATAAGAGGAAAAGGTGTTTTGTAATCCTAACATGAGATGAGAATCTAGATGTGGATGGTCAGGAAAGGCTATATTTTGCAGACGCTTCTTTCAAAACATCTTTAAGAATTAAACACAGCCAGGACGCGAGGACACAGAATAAAGATGAAATCCAAGGATACAGCTAAGTTACCAGCCTAAATGCTATGCAGTGTAAGGATATTATTCCCACTAGACAAGTTGTAGAGTAGACAAATGAATCTGTATTGTGGAAGGTGGTTGAATTATTTCTCACAAGTAAGTTTACCAAAAATACAAGGTAGAGACGATCCCCTGGGTCCTGAAAGTGGGACAAAAAAATTCTTCAAAAGGACAGCCTGGAAGAACAGAGTGGTGGAGACCCAGGGAAGCCAAGGGAGGATAAGCTAACAGAAAGAGCAACATCAAGGTGCTGGTTTCTAGACTTGGTCATGGAGGAACTTAAATGTCCCTACTAGTTCTCCCGCATAGCTGCTTGGCAGGACCCACTAAGCCAGGGAAGTGAAGCCTGCAGATATTTTTCAGCAGAGGACTGGAGTAGGGCTTGCCAACGGGCAAGCCACAAAGCTTGCAGTCCGTGTGCACACTTTCTCTGAAATACTTATGCATGCCTGTGGTGCCAATCTTACCTTTGCTATTGTTAAAAAGCCAAAGGAATTACTGGAAGAGATATTTAAACTAAAGTTGAGGTTGACTGCAGTTCATGTATGGTGAAAAGCACTTCAACAGAGGAATCAAGAGTTGAAGGGGTGGCATAGAAAAGACAAGGTAGCAAAGGGCCTGGGTTGCCTCTTAGAGACAAGCATGACGGTCATATAACTTTTTACGTTTTTTGAGAGAGCGCTATGGTTCTGCAGTGGAGCTGTTTTGCTTGGCATTTGTCTTGTCTTCTGAGCAACTTTGTTCTCTTCTGGGTTGGGACGGAATAGTGGAATATGGTAGAAACAATACTAACCAGCACAGATGGAGGGAGTGCAGATCAGCAGCAGCAGTAAGCTTCTGAACTGACGCTGAAGGTAATGCTGCTGGACATCCCTGGTAGCCCAAAGTAGCAGAGTTTGTTCTGAAGTCTCTGCAGCATGACCTCACGGGGCACTTCAAGAAAGGCCCATGCTCAGTGTCAGTGTTTCAAAAATTCATCTTAATTTCTAGAATTTTGAATAGTATTTGTTGTAATGCATATTTTCCTTAACCACTTCACATAATATATTTCCCGGCTACTGTTGTTGGAGAGGGAAAGTGCCAAATCCTGCCTATTGTGAATAAGCCAAGAAGGTAACCATGGGAGCAGCGCTTTACTCGTCACTGGATCCTAAAACCCTCTACTAAGAAAGAAAATAATCCAGGTTACCTTGCAGTACATGAAGAGCTGAAACAGGGCATCAGGGTGGTTTTGTTTCACTTGTTTGAGCCAAAAGAAATTAGTATGATCAAGAAAACCATATGTATTGTAGATGTAGTTATACTCAGGTTAATTTTGCTGTAATTTAAGTGTGGATTTGTCTGCCCTTTACAGGCATGAATAACCGTGAAGTCTTGGAGCAAGTAGAACGTGGTTATCGGATGCCATGTCCTCAGGACTGTCCCATCTCCTTGCACGAGCTTATGATCCACTGCTGGAAAAAAGACCCAGAGGAGCGTCCAACTTTCGAATATTTGCAGGGTTTCCTTGAAGACTACTTCACTGCAACAGAACCCCAGTACCAGCCTGGCGACAACCTGTAAATCCCTGGTCTCCAGACAGTGTCATGAATTGCCAGGTGTTTCTCAGCCCTGCCCCGCCTGTCCTTCGGCTTCCAACTCTGTGATCGGCTTCTCCAGAGTGCAGCATCTTCCAGCACCGCCGTGCGCAGGAGGGGCTGAAGCTGGGAACTTCCGCAGCCCTTTCCTACAACCACTTGTCCTAATAATCTGAATGTCCTGGATGAAAAGGAGAAAAACACTTGTTTTTTTCTTAATCAAAGACTCCAAAACTGCATTGTATTGATGTTATGTAAACTGCAAAACCTCTGTTCATTGTAAATAGTAACTCAGTGCCAATAACTGATCCTAGTGCTTTCCTTTTTTTAAAACGCAAAACCTATGTGATTTTAACTAGTCTTCTCCTGATTCAACTAAAAGTATTATTTTCCAGAAGTGGCCTCTTTGTCTAAAACATTTTTTTTCATGTTTTAACAAATAAAAAAAAAAATCAGGACAGGTGTTTGGTTTGTTGCTTTTTTATATATAAATATATAGAATATATATACATACCTGTACATACAGTATATGGGTGCTATTGCAGAGGAAACTCATTTGGAATGGAATGAATCCTGCTGCAGCAGCACCCAGAAAGTGATAATTTTACTGCAGACATGAAAACACTGGCAGGATTCTCGAAGCCAGTGATCTAATTTTTGGCTTTTGCCAAGCATGATTTTTTTAAATTGGATTGCACTTTTTGTTTATGATTATGTACCTGTAGATGGTTGTAACTTTGCTCTTTCAGGAATCATGTGCTGTATTTACAGTAATGTTTCCAATGTTTGACAAGTGTGTGATGATTTGTTCTTGAAATTAAAACAAACGTATTTAAAGCAAGAAAACTACACCATCACCGTTTGAACTGGAAAATTGAAACTGCAAGGACTTCTTGTATCAAAACATGTATACTGAAATGTTTTGAAAAAATTTATTAAACAGTGTAACCACATTCAGATGGTCTTAAAATCACAGCATTTTAGCCATGTCCACCTGCTAAACTGTTGGTCATGCAACTAGGATTTTTCTGTTTGATGTGTAACATTTTTCCATTGTAAAATAAGTGTGTTAAATGTCCTGTACTGCTAATGAAATTACTTTCTCTATGTCTGCAAGTTCTCCAGTGGAATTACTATGCACTTCTTTACATTTCATGGGGGATGCACAGAACAAAGTATTACCTTTTCAGTTGTCTGTACCAGCCTTGAATTACTTACGTTTAACCAAAAAAAAAAAAAAATTCCTTTCTATTTCTATTGAGTTTTTAATACTGAGTTGCAAATTTTAAAGTCTTAATTACATTTTGTTATGGTTTCTTTGCAAGTTTACATTTTAAAACTGTTTAACTTTCTTAATTTAGTAATTAAAAAAAAAAAAAAGAGCATTTTACATTTGGATAGTTGTTCTTTTGTTTAAACTGTGGAGATAATGGTGGAGATGAGATAAAAACTTTCCAAGAAGGGGTGTCATGCCATTTGGGACACCAGATTTCATAGGAGCATCCAGACCAGTTACCTATGGGACGTCATTTTCCAAATTATGAAGCCAATATGTTTTTAAACAGCTGGAGTTCAACTGTAAGGAAGATGGTTGAATGCATAGCTAGTCTTTCATTTCTCTGTTCTACAAGCAGTTTATTCTTTAATAGTTCTGTTGCATTTAACGTGAATACTTTTACATTTACAAGTGTTGCAGGAAAAGATTTTCTATGCCTTGTATTGCTGTTATTGCTTTAAAATATTGCAGCCAAGTAAGGCTTCCTGACAGTTGAAACTTTTTTTTTAATTATTTAATACTTAGATTGTGAATTCATATTCTGAATATTCACACATTTTCTAAAGAGAACCTTTTTCTGTTCCTGAAAACTAACCCAATAATGAATTGAGATTCAGAGAACAAATTATCATCGTTGTTTTAATATTTTCTATACAAAACAGTGACTGAAAATCCTCTTGCAAAGGAAGGTTCCACACCTAGCCTTTCCTGAAGTGTGAATTTATATGGCAATGTTGCTTGTTACCAGATTTCCATGATAAACCGGTTAACGTTTTACATGTAGAGTCTATAAGTAATGTTATGTACATGATATATTCAGTGTTGCTGTACCTGTAGCTGTGGAGTACTGAAGAGGCCATAATTCTTGTTGGACTTTTAGCTTCCTCTTAGTACTTACAAAGCAAGTCGTGGTCCTCTTTTTCCCACAGCTACCCCCCTGCCTTAAAACGTCATCCACTGAACTGAGGACTCTGTAGTAACTCAGCGGGCTGGTGAAGCCAAAATGTCACATACTCAGCCCCGTGCTCGGTGGCAAAGCATGGCCGTTCTGCCAAGTTCCTTAGCAGCCTTTGCTATGCCACAAACTTAAGCGCAGTTTCCACCTGTAATGCGGGATGAGCCTAAAACATTAGTTTCACCTATGTTTCTCGTTGGAAGTAAGACTCGGATGGGGCGTTGTTGGGGTTTTATGGCCTTTACTTCTGATTCTTGGGTTTGTTGTTTCTTGTATCGCATTCGGTCTACGAGTACCATGTTGGTCTCTGCCGCATCTCTGCCTGCAGCTGGCTTGTGTGCAGACTGGTGCCGCTGTTGAGTGGCAAATCCAGACCATTTCTCATCGGTAGCTCTTCTGCTTCTTTTTCTTAATGTTGGGAGTTTTGTTGTTTGGGTTTTTTAATCTCTCAAATAAAAACATTAGCAAAAATTTAAACAAGGTTGTTAGCATTTTTGCTATAAATCAATAAAACCTTTTTCTTAAGCACTGTGTGTACACCACAAATGGCTGTGTGGTGACTGTAAAAGTTGAATTATCATCAGATTAAAAATCTCCGCTTCCCTCCAATATTTTTTTAAACATAAGGCTAAATAAATCCCATCCAGATAAAAACAATTGGCCAAACGTTCCCCCCACCAGCACACCTGATGCCCAGCCGATCCTTGGTGTGGCGGTGAAGTTCCAGAAAAGGCGACCTGCCAGCAGCTGAAAGGACTCCATGGGATGACCCCGGCATCTCTAGGCCAAGCTTAATCCAATACCAGTCCCAGGAAAAATGACAGGCAAAAATGCAACACTGCCGCGAAAGGGACAGTTAGTACAATTAATGCCTGTTAACACGTTTCTGTGAGAAGAAAATGAAGTGAGACTTGGTGGGTCTTCGAAAACATCCAAAGCTTGTCAAAGGCACTAACATGATATTCTCTGGCTTCTGCAAACAGTGTTCAGCTTAGTTCTATCTGACGTTCTGGTTTTGATTTAATTACCGCTGTGGAAAAGCAAAGTAAATACAAAACAGAAAAGTGATTAACTGCTAAAATTACAAGAATAATCATAAATGGAAAATCTGTCTCCAGCATGAGTGTTTCTCCTGAAGCCTCGAGACTGGAAAGGACTACCTGCAGGCCGAGGAGACAGATTGCTAAATGTATTTGACCTTGTCACAGAACTTCAAGGTGAGTGAGAAGTTGCTCAAATGTATTTTAATATGCGCCATCCTTTTCTCAAATGCTGCAATAAAGACTGTAGTACACTAATGAACGCTACCACATTGTACCCGGGGGGTTTAAGGGCCTCACATGAGGCTGAGCCGAAGCATGCAAGAGCTATTAGGAGATATACAGTAGCTCCTCTTCTAATGTGTAGACAATATTCATTCATCAAAGAAAGCTTTTCCTGTCTAATGGGAAATTACCACCAGCAGTGCAGACAAAAGGATATTTATTTTCTCCAATTGTGTCAGTTTGAGGGTCTGTCTGTCTTTCAGGAATAATTGAAATCTGTTTGTAGCTCAGAAATCTTATTGTGTTCTGCAGTCTTGGTAAGCAGTGATTATAATTTCCTGTGACTCACACACAGGGAAATTTTATCACTGGAGGGGCTCCTGTCAATTGGGCCAGCATTCCCTGCCACCGTAACTGAAGAAAGGGGCACTTCAGTTTCGGGTTTTCCTGCACAGACCAAACCAGAACCCGTGTCCTTCCAGCAGAAAAGGGAAAG